ACAAATATATTTTTAAAGTTAATAGTACATAATTAATTATTTATTTATTTATTATGTATTAAACTATTAACTCTTAAGTATGTTGTAGCCTTGTAGGTGGCTTTAGTTTTCAATTGACAGTGTACAAATATGTTATAAAAATTGATTTACCTACCTAAAAACTTATTCATACTAATTCGGCCAAATGATATWTTTTTGTGGACATTCATATAACTAATAAAGTAATAAGTAAAAACTATTCGCTCAAACTTCAAAGAAATAAAATTTTGGGCTGATCTGACTATGTCCGTTGAGCCACCTACTACCCCTCCCCCCCCATCTACATCTATCCCCTTAAGAATTTATGATACATAGTATTTACATAATAATATTTTCCTCAAAACATCGCAAATAAATATATTTTTTTTTTTCATAGAATGTATTTTGTATAAAAAAAAATTTGAAGAATATAATACCGAATAATACAAGTTTCTTAACATTATTGGAGATTTATAAAATAAATTATGACGCAGTAAATATGAGTGTTAGTTTTCTCTAAATATATTATCTGACTTTTTATAATAGAGTAATTATTACTATACTCTATTCAAAATAGAATATATTTAATGTCCTATACAACAGTTCTAATCGYATCACAGTTAATACCACAATGATAAACCAAGAAACTAATAAACAATAAATAATACGATAAATAGTACCTATGTATCAATTTTATAAAAATAAAATAAAAATATAATTTACTTAAAATTAAGAAAATCTTTGATAAACCATGTTAATAAATCCACAAAATTTTTTGAAATATTAAATTGGATGAATACTCAAAAAAAAGTTGTCCTTAGCTACCTTACGGCCCTTACATTTCAAAATATAATTTGTAAAAATGTAATTTAACAATTCGTTTGCAGACCTACACTTAAGTATTTCATTTATGGTAAAATAAACGACTAAGATAGATTATAAGAAAGGTTTTTAGTAACTTAAAACAACACGCTATGTCGCATGCTGCGCACCACTGTCCAGTATACTAATAAAAACCAATGGTTTTCTATCATCTTACCGTCACATTGTTTTGGAGTGCGGTGTGTGTGCCATCTGCCTAATCGAAACATTAATCTAATGTTCTATATAATTACGATAGGCAGGTACTTATTGCATGTACAATAAAATAATATATTTCGTATTGAAGCACATAATATCTAAATAAATAGCAATTAACAATTGACTTAGTAGCTTTATATTTTAGTAATAGCCAATCGATACGTTTTATATTATATTGTTTTAAACTTAAATTTATTAACTACATAGAAAATAAATTTAAATATTTGATACTTGTTTTTAAAAACCAATGGCGTTTAAAATAGGTAAAATCAAATATTAATAATCCAAAATTGTAAGCAAACATAAATTATTTCTATAATTAGTGTATTTCTTGTGAATAAATGAATGTACTAATTATAATTTTTAAAAATTTTTTTTATGTTTAGGTATTAGYGAATAAATATATTTTTTTAACTAAAAAAAATTAAACTGGATACGATAATAAAACCATATAACGGCATAACTATACAAGTATATAGGTACCTAAGACCGGTTTTATAGAATAATTTTTCTACAAATTATGCTATGAACATTTCTATTAAATAGTTAATTTACACTAAATAATATGTTAAAAATATTAAGTTTCATTAATACAGATCCATAAATTGCCKCCTTGATATATTTTGAAGTGTTAGTCGATATTTTACATAGTATTTCATAGAAAATAATGCTTATTTGTTTAATTGTTTACTGTTAAATATTCGAAAAATTTGGATTCAGTGTAGCTATTCCTAATACACCAAATCAGTGTAGGTAAAATTGCATTATATAGTATTTTTTGTGCCATGTTGAGCAAATCCACGACGTGACAATGTGACATTACAGTATCTCATAATTTTAAAACAATGGGGTTGCTTTTAAAGCAGGAGTCGCGAGTAAAATTTCTAACCCATCTAAACGATATGCGCCATYGCCAAAGTATATGTGTATGATATAAGCATTTTTGAAACGGGAAAAAGGCCGAAAAACTAAATATTTCCAAAAGGAGTTAGCAATTAAAATATTATACATGATTTACTGTCCAATTTACTTGACAGTTTCTGATTTAGAAGTCCGATATTTCATCTATAGATTATCTATCATTAGAATATTACAAACACATGATACAATTTTTTTATAAATAAAGTTTTGGGGATATTAACGTTTTTATWGTTTTTAAATAAAAGGAACAAAACTTAACATTTATAATATAACACAATACTATTAATGGAATTACACTTGTAGAAATATTATTTCTCTGCATTAGTTTAAATATAGGGAATTCTGRAGAAGCCTTGGTAAATCACTATTGGATTGTTGACTAGGATCCCAAGTAGTCTCATGGAGTCTTGGATTTAATTTGTTTTAATGAGATACAGATAATTTAAAATTTCTTTGATAAGGCTCTGACTCTCAATTATCATTATATAGATGGGTGGTAAGTCAGAGAAAGTAAGCTAATAAGGATAACAGTATTGTTAAATTGTAATATAAGAAACATCATAGATAAAATTCAATCAAAAAGTGTAACACCCTAAAGTAAGGAAATCAGTAGTTGTTAACTTTTCAAACCTCTGCAATAATCTATATCGAACAGAAAAATGGAAGTGGAAGTTGTAATTTTAATTTTAATTATTAATGATTTAATCTGAATTATTTTAACACCTCCCATATTTGTGGATACATGAAAAACACTTTTAATTCCTATAAATAATAATTTATTCTATTATATTGTTCAAATTATTAATCATCATTCTAGTTTTTTTTTCAAAGTCTATATTATAGTATAATATATAACTATGTCAATTATTGCAAATTTGAGTAAGTTAAAATTTAAATTAATTTAGGTATTTTATTCTTCCAGAATGTAAAAATATCAGGCTATATACACATTAAAAAATTTATATATATATATATATATATATGCTCTTTTAATACTAATGTATATTGTATAATGTATGGTATATACATTATGTAATACTGATAAAATCGAAAATATTATATTATTTTATTTTGTTATTTTGTAACCATCTTATCATTAAATATCATAATATTTTTTTCTTGAGGGACCAAAATAATACAATTATTTTATTTTATTCCATTCTATACAACACAGAAAAAAGTATATAGGTATTGCTTAAGATCATAAGCTGATTCAAAAAATGTTTGATGAAGTTAATTTAGCATATTTTACATGTTGGTAATTTCTTTTATTATTCAATTTAATACAATTTTTTAAGTATTATAAAACGATATAAATAATTTATAGGAATGTAATAACATATGGTTTGTAGTACTTCTATAGTAAATTGAAAATAACTGAAATTTTCCTTAATTAAGCCATAATAATTAAAATTATGTAGTATGATAGTGTTAGACAAAAAGATGTTATTTAATTTTTCATTATTGATGATAATTTGATCAATATCATTTCATTACAATTTAAACTTCTGACTATTTAAAGTAATGGATGTTTATTATAATACAGGTTGATTCTTTTAAGTGGGTACACTAATTATCTCGWAAAGTATTTACTTTTTCAAAATATTTTTTTACATGGTTTCAAGTTGTTAATAACCAACGTTTTTATTAAAAAATTATATGTTTAAATATTTTTTAACCTTATAATTTTTTAWGTATTTTACTTTTTTGAATGACAACATAGTTTTAATTTCATATTCCAAAGCAGAATATTTTTCTAAGTATTTTGATTCATAAAAATTGAATTTAGGATGAGTAGTTTATGAGTTATATATATTTAAAGTTTAGACAAGCGGAGTAGTGGACAAAMATTTTGAGGGGTAACCCCGTACCACTCCACTCTGCCAATCTAAACTTTAAAGTTTAAATACTAAGTTTAACTGATTTTTTTTAAAGTTATAGGTATAATATACTAAATTAATAGAAAACTCAAAAAACATATAATAACTAACTAGTAAGTACTACATTTAAAACAATTATTGTATAAATTAGGTAATATTTTATTTTTTGAATGGTATAAAATAAATTATGAATATATAATTTATTGCATATACTTTTTTTCTGAGTCTCGAGAAACAGATTTGTGTAATGTCTAACTATACGTAGAAAGCAATTTAAATTTAATTTTGATATTTGGTATAACCCAGATATAAGTACCAAGACAAAAAAATATAAGACAATGCAGCTAAATATTTGAAAAAAAATAACCTTTCTTCATAGCAAACAAAAAAAAACTATATATATATACACATATGTATAAATACAAATAATATACATATTTTAATTTTCAATTCATATCACTAGAACTTATTTATTTATTAGGTTCCAAAACAAACATAATGGCATACTTAATCTAACTTAAGAAATGTAAAAATGTAATTAATTTATTATAACTTAAGAAATATATTGCAACCACTGTAAACTCAACTAAAAATAAAATATTAAAAAAAAAAAAATCGAGTAAGCAAGTGGATGTCGCTCTGCAATACAGTAGGTTACAAGTGGGTTACTGTAATGGATGGCATTAAATTTGAATTCAATGATTTGATATCATTATATACAGAAAACAATTCTGAGTGGAGATKGTTTATCAGTTTAGGATAAGTTATACTATATTAATTATATTGTTAAAATTCCAAAAAAAATTACCTTTAAGAAAAGWTGCTACACTTGATACTTTTAARCAAGTTTAGAGGGAGAAAAAGTATTTACARATTAAAAAAGAAAAAGAAAAAGGAAATGAAATGAACATCATTGTAAAACCAATATATTCCTCACTCCACTCAGAATCTAAAAATAAGGGATTTGCATTCAATTTACCTTATAAATACCTAATAAATATCAGTAAAATAATAATACCTTTTCTGAATTAGGTAGGTTTATCATAATTCAAATAAAAAGGCTAGTAATAGTATATTTTATATATATAAAAAGTAACTCACTTCAATACAATAGGAGCAGCCACATTGTTGAAGCGTCCAAGAATTTTTTACAGGAACTTCATTTAAACATACTTTACAAAGTACAATTGGTTGATCTCGGTGTGTTACAAAACTTGATGTTGATCCTAATGAATATCTTGATGAAGATGCAGCCAAAGACAAAACACTACTACATCTTGAACAAACAGCAGTATCTCGTAATCGATTTATTGGTTTTATTCCAGCAGGCCGATTTAGTACTACATTAGATAATGTTACCATAGTATTGTATTTACGAATTGGTTCTTCATTCCGTATACATTCTAAATGTGACCAACTTTCTGCTGAACCAGGTTGATTTAATGATGAAGATGAGGATGACTTGCCCCTGGCCAATGTGACCAGGGACCGTAAACTGGGCATTAATAAATCTATTTTACTTTTGCTCCATTTTCTTAGTTTTCCGGCAGCATCTTCATCATCAAGTGATGATTCATTATTCAGAAGCACTTCTTCCTCTCTTTCCCAACTACGTCTATTTTTTTTAGGTAAATCAACATCACTTTTAGACGGTTTCTCTTCCAAACCATTTTGCCCAGAAAGCACAGTGATACGGTGAGACTTGGGGCGCCGAAATGGATCACGTTCTAATATTATCTCTCGACCATCTTCATCGTCATCCGCCAACGAGTGAGTACGTTCATAATTAACAGCGGTCTTCTTCATAACGCCGGTCGACGTGACCGCCAATCCGTCGACCGATCAGTTTGAGYTGATGGATGATTGTTTGTCATTTTCCGTGAACAATAAATTCAACTACATCTTTTAACACTCTGGTGAAAAATATTGTGCATCTAATGTTGTTTAACTTTAACCTTCATCTACATAAAACAATAAAATATAAAACACTAAGTAGTACCTAATTCAKGAAGTATTTAAATCGATTATTGTTAAATTTTTACAATTAAATATAGCGACTGTCGTTTTAGACATTGTTTTTTTGTTTTATTTCGTTACCTGATAGTGTTGAATTCGTGACCCCCTTTACTTTGAAAACAAGTTTACTAACGTCTCAACCTATTATTTGGGTTACGACTTTAATAGTAGGTCATTTAGTCATTATTTTACGAACGATCGATAACGTGATATTGAAAATTCTTGTACACAAAATACACAATAGAACTGGTGATAAATTTTTACAAAACGAGAACATTTTTATTGTTTTTATCAGATGAATATGAGTATGTTATGACCAATCAGCCGATTTGACAGATGGCCACACAGACATGCACGCCAATACACGAAAATAAACCGGTGACAGGTTGACAAACATCGACCGCGTTGTTTTCTTAAAATATTTTCTGACTATTGCAAAATAATAATGAYATAGGCTCATGTTCAATAATATGATATTACGAATAATACGAATTACGATAGGCATACCTGTCCTATTCACTATTTCACTAAAACAGCCTTAGTTGATTTTATAAATCCTATTAGCTTTAGCATTACTATTTAACACCTACTCACCGATATTAAAGAGAGACACAAATACGCGATATCCGAATATCCTGAACTGAACGCGAATGCCGAGAGCACATTTATAATTTCGGGAGAGCTCGTGTTCATTTACTGGACGTCCTCAAATAATTTTAATTACAATTTAGCCGAATAATACGAAATGYGTTAATTTGATTTGCTGTAACGCTTCCGTAGGTACACACACAACGACACAACTCACTACTAACTGTCCACACGCAAACCAACAACAAGACTCTATGGATTATGCCGAACTGCATCTGGCCATGAAATAATATTATTATCGTCTAGTGGATACAGGTTTTTCGTTCACTCACTGCGCGTTGCTCACAAACCGATAGATATACGTTTAACACGTCCTATTCCGAAGCGATCATATTATAAAATCATTAAAATCAGCATTGCGATAAAAAAAAAAAAAAAAAAAAACGTACCTACAAGTAAATCTTCCGCCGGTCGAGCCACGTGCAATTACGTGTACCTACAATCATCGGATCCCAATTCCCAATACGTGTTTTTTATTTTGTAAGGACCGGCAGGGATTAACCTAAGCAGTTAMGGGCTTTTTTATGTGGAGTAAAATTTATGATTTCACCTCCTTTGAAAACAGACAAAATTGTTATGAACGTTTCCTATAAAAATCTATTGATATAATATTGTAACGATAAAACAATTTTTCTACGGTCATTCGAATTGTTGACAGTCAATGCATTAAATGATAAAATCACGAGATTATTTATAATCTATGATGGAATTAAAAATTTGATACCATTTATACTTRTACTACGACCGTAGATTAAAAATACAACTAAATTGTTTTTATTTTACTCGGTTTATAAGGTACTTAGGTCCTATAACCAAACTTAGAGCTTGATACAACCTGCACGAGTACTGCCACTTTTTAAACATTTATTTCGAACAATACGACCTACTCAACTTACTACCTTCGTTTTTACTATTTTTTTTTTTAATAGTTTGGTAACGTATTTCATAATAGCCGGCATCGAGTTACGCCGTTATGTAATATAGATACAAGTGTTTTATAGTGGGAAACTGGAAAATGGGAATGGGAACTATAAATTAAAGAATGCTAATGAGAACCCTCGGCATTTAATTTGTTTTTACGTACACAGATAAACAGCAGCCGCAGTTTTGTCATTATTATACTATTTAGTATTTCGTTTTATTTATTTCCAACAGGCAACAGGCTATATTGATTTACACCTACAAATTACAAGGCTACATACGCTAGATGCAAATCCTGAATTCTGATCGTTTTTTACTTTGAAAAAATAACGTTTATTAATTGATTCTAAAAATAATAATAAATATATATAATTGATTAATAGTAATTTAGSAGAATCAAAATTAATTATTAGAAAAACAACTAAACACCAAATTCTTTTTACAGAAATTTTGTTAGGTATCTTTATAAAAAAWAGTAAATTTCCGCAATAGAATGTCTGCTATTTATTCTAATTGTATAAAATGAAATATACTGAAATTTAAATAGGTCCTACTATTTAAGAAGTATATTATATCGCCTTGTTTTACTCAGTTAGACTGCTATTGCCACCAATTAAATATACTTGATATGTTTATTTAATTGTATTGCCTTATTCTTTCCCCTTTAATGAATACAGTACCTGATAATGATCTGCATGGGTTCATTGTGTTCACTTTTAGACTAGGACACAATAAGGAATCATAATATCAAATAAGT